CGGTGGCTCTTATACACGTTGCAGAAAACGAACGACGCGAGCATTCATTTTGAAAATGTCGTTTTACTTTTCCATATCTAGACGGAAAAAAATGAGGAAGAGACATTAAAACTGCCTCGAGGACTAACCCAAGGAGCTGATACTAACTAAACCATTTAGGAAAAGACTCATAAATTAGTGCTATGGCCTTCCACCAAGAAGTCTACTTTTAATTTCATATTCCAAGACTGCTGGGTGTTACGTAAACTTGGTTTAATTTTAATATCTTCAAGGAAAACTAAACTTTAATAAACTTTTTATGTCATAACTTTACGCTCATTTTGCCGTGCGGTGTAAGTGGATTATGTGAAATATCTCGACATAAAAGACCGCAGGGGGCAGTAAAGTTTTATGTCTCGACTCTAGAATATGGAGATAACAGTCAGTTTGCGTTTAAGGAAATATAACTTAGAACGATCCTTTACAGCTTTGTTGTATTTTACTTGTTAATATTTTATCTTATTTTAGTACCTGTAGATTTAACATTCTTGTCAAGGCACTCAAAATCAACAAACATTATGTAATATGTGTCACACATGATTTGTTATACAGGTCAAAGTTACTTAGTACTTATAAGAGATCACCGGGGCTCCGGCTCGAACTGCCGGAGTAGGAACGGGGATAGTTTTTGTCAATAAGAGTCTGACACTTCCTCCCGCCGCAGCCACACGGGAAAAGGAAAATCATTGGATAATTTTCTACCATAACACGTTAACCGCCGCGTAGGTCACCGGTGACCTATGTTAGCAGAGGATTTGCCTTCAGCAGTTTTCTGTCGGCAATCAAAGGCTTAAACAAAAACGTAGTGAAAGATTCGATTGCCACTATGACATCATATTTGAAATTGAATTATTGGTATTTGAGTTACATATTGTTTTATTTTATTTGAATGCGATAACTTTGATAGATTGACATTGATTTAGATTTGTTATAAAGTAACCTAACAAACTACAAAAATCATATAAACAAATCTTTTTAACACAAAACCAAAACACTTTGATCTCAAAAGAACATTTAAAACACAAAGATATTGTCAAACAAAAGCAATACATCAATACATTATTCAACATAAGAAATAATGTTCTAAATTCTTTGCCAAAATGTATGGAAAGATTGTGTAGGAATAACTAACCGTGATCGACGCTTGATTGGCAGTCGGTCGAGAACCAAGAGAGAATCAGAAGAGAAAATAATAAAAATATAAGGTGAGATGAATTGACGAATCAGGACGAGCTTACAAGCTATTGACTTGACGAATGTTCGAGAGGATTGGATGCCAAAGACGATTGTATATTATATGAACACATCTTTATTAAGGTTAGGTTATATGTACCAAATATTAACTACAATTTAAGGGGAAGTGTGGGAGAGCCATGCTTCAGCACGAATGGGCCGGCTCTGGAAGATGCTACGGTCTCACAGAAAACCGACGTGAAGCAACGTTTGCGTTGTGTTTCATCATGTAAGTGAGGATACCGGAGGCTTAATTACCACCCCTGAATTTTCAACAATCCTCAAATTCCTAATCCCTAAAAGGCCGGTAACACACTTGTAATGCCTCTGGTTTTCCGGGTGTCCATGTGTGGCGCCGATTGCTTACCATCAGGAGATCCATATGCTCATCTACCGTCTACGTCTACGTCAACAAAATAAGAACCAAATATTGATTACATTTTGAAAACTTTAATACACCAATCCAACTCGCTTTTACGCACAATTACTAGCAAGGCAAGAAATAAACTGACACGTGACCAATCTCAACATATTCCCTGTGGCATAAGTTAATACAAACTTCGATAAAGGGATCATCGAAATCAGCCCAATACTCGGCGTGTCGGATCCATATTTCCAAGTGACCAGATTCGTGCCAATTACAAATTTATCCAGGTGATTGCTTAATCGAAAACCGTTCACATGAGTAATTCTGGCAAAATCAAACGTATCCTTATAAATACACGATTGGTTTTATACATACAAAACTATATGAACGACTATTAAATAATAAAAATTAATAAAACATGCCACTTTGTCCAGATAACTGATGACTTATTAGCATCAGCTATTTTGAAACTGGATTTAAATTATTTTTTAAAATAGTTTTAAAATTGTCACATTTAAGCTCATTCAGATATTTTATCTCCAATGTCTGAAAACGTTATTACATAATCGAATCCAATTAAAGACGTAATGATCATATGCATTCTCTATTTAAATTTCATAAAAGCACTTTTGCAAAGCGACAAAATGATGAGGGACTTTTTTTAATCTTCACAATTCCTTGTGTCTCCTTCGAGTCTTCCTTGACGTGCTGCCATTATTCCTATTGAGTTATAGTCATCTAAAATTGGATTCAATTCACAGTACTAGCCTGTAGGATTCTACTAGTACCGAGTAAACACCCTTGGGGATATCGATGTAATCGATTTTGGCCAGATTTGTTTGTTCACTTCAATCGATTACGTGACGATTGTAGCCAACACGATTGCTTTGAACTCCAGGGGCTCTTTCGAGTCTATAGTCTATAAGTGTCTGTTCCTAGGACGGCTATTACAATTTATTTTCTACGTTTTCATGATCGGAATGGACGCGGAATCGTTTTGATGGAGCTCGTTGAGATTGTAATGACAATTTCATTTTCTTGTAATTCTTCGATGTCATTTCTATAGCAATGTTTAGGTGAATGGCAGTTTTCGGCATTTTATATGCTGAAAAAATTAAAAATCCTGTTTTAAACTCCAGCTTTAAAATAACAAAATTGTAACAAGTTTAAACTATAAATCTGCAAAGAGATTGCACTCCTGTTATTAAAAGTAAATAGCCATATAAATTAGAACCAAGTAGAGGCATAAACATCCATTTTTATGAATTTTGGCGCAAATTTTGAAACTTTTCCAAGGCACTTACCGACTCAGCGATGCATACGCCAGCTGATAGTGCGCAAACAACTTTGATTATGCAAATTATCCTTCATGAAATGCACCGCACATTTTTTGGCAAACTTACCAAGCAATATGTTTTTCAGACATGCACTGAGTTTTTATAGCAATTTCACTTTTATGGCTTTGTATAAAAGGTGTAGTTTGAGCCTTCTTTTATTATATTGAAAATTTTTCAGATCAATGCTCAGTCATGGTTAGACAGGCCAACAGATGTAACGGTTAGGTATAGTTTGAGCCAAACCGCAGAAGAAATAGACTTATAAGATTGCTGTGGTGTTGTGATGAAACAAAAATTCATGTTATCTCTTTCTACACACTACGAGCGAAAACAACAAGCTATACTTACCTGAATCCAACGAATGGGGATGATGACAGGGTATGAAAATTAAAAATATAATTAGTCCGTAACTTAGGTAATAAAAAAATATTAGACACGTATTTTTTTATTTTGTTGTATAATAAAACAATACTTAGATAAAACGAATCAAAGTTTAGGAGTGGGGGCTAAAACGTCATTTCTTAGTATAAAATGTACTGAGAAGTGACGTCACGCGACATTTCAAATCAATATATCTTCGAAACTATTCGTTTCCGTAAGAAAATATAAAATACGTGTGTAATGTTTTTAAATAATCTACCAGACGGACATTAAAATAAAAATTAGTCGTCTACCCCATTGAATATTTTTCCAACACCCTGAGTGGGTGTCTAATAACACGGAAAATCATCAATATGTGCTCACTTACAATTGACCGATAGTCATTCTACAAACCCTTCAAACTTCGACATATTTTTTACAGGTACAATGCATCCCTTTTGGGGCATTTTCATCTTTGGAGGTCCCTTAAAGAATATCACCCTTATGGAGTAACTCGTGCGTCAATTCGTTTGTCCCCTTACTGCTTGGGACGGAATTTATCGCAAATTTCATCATTTTTGGGGCCACATCTGTCTCTGTATGGTCGTTTGCATTGTAGTTATTTGCATGTGAATGTTATAGTACGGTACAGTAGTTATTATTAGATGGCCTCTGTAGATTCCCTTTGAAATTATTTTCTGTATTCCCTAAAAGGGACTTTCATTGCCGTTTTTACTAGCCACCCTTAAACCATCTATTAACTATGAGTTACTTAGTGTAACGTAGTACCCAAATTAACTTCTTATTAGTACAGCTGTTAGGTGTCACTTATAGATTGGTAAAAACCAAAATAAAAATAATGAACCTATCTTAGCCTAGAACTTCCTTGAAATTTAGGAGGAGTTGGCGAGAACGGGCATCAGTGTTCTTTAAAAGGGGCTTTGCTAACTATTGTGCATTCATAACGACCTAAAAGTAATTTGTAATTTAAGTAATTTGTAGGTGCCTAGTAACAAACCAAAGACCTTGTAGAATAAAAATCTTTGCTTTTTATCCATCTATAATCATCCATCTTCCACAAAATGTTAATAACCTCAAAAAATCGAAACAGATTATTCGGTTTTCCGTTACGCTGCAAAAATTTCGCGTCACGACAGAAATGATAGGAATATTATAATGACATGTCTCCTTTTGGGAATACTGTGAGATATACATATAGCTGTGTACCACCAATTTACGATTATATTACTTAGGCCTTTTAAGGTTGATTTTACGATACCATATGTTGAATTGTTAAAATACTTGCTTGTGGTCTCGATGTACGAATGGCTGCACAGATAGAAATCGAACTCAAAATAGAGCCACTGCTTTAAGCTAGATGGTTAACTTCAGTAACTGCATAGGGGCAAAAATAATTGTTCCCAGTGTAAAGAAATTAGATTAAACTTTTGTCACAGTGAAAATAGTAATATTACAAGATTTTCCTAGAGTTGAAGTGGATGGACATGTACAGTGCATTTTTCTTATAATATGCATACATATTCCGTGTCATTTATTCAGCTTAACTCTTCCGAATATCCCAAAGGGTTTTGTGAGTTCAAAAGATAATGTTCGTAATATTAATTGCCTGCATTATATTCATAATGTTTTTTTCTTTGTTTCAGGTGTACAGATAGCATATTTTGCGATAATAGGAACACAAATGTTCATGATCGTACTCAGCATATTCCTCTTTTATGGGATTTATAAAGTGAGTATAAGTATCTTATTACTAGTTTTTAGTTATAAACCTTATTATGATAGACTACAATACAAAAGGCAACTTATAAACATTGCCATATGATTCAAAGTTATAATTATAGCTTATGAATGTTTGACCAGTAAATAAATTCTTACTTCAAGAAACCTACAAAATAGACTTGGCGATTCAGTCACACGTGTACCTATGTCGGTTATGTTTGAAGTCACGTTTTTCTTCTTTACAAAATACACAAACAGTTGATTATAGTGTACACAATAAAGGTTTGGCCTTTTTCATCTACCCACAAAATGTCAAGCCACTGAGATTGTATTAATAAAAACAGGTTTCATTCTTCATTTGAACTAAACATCCTAGCTTAGTACTTTCCAAAGAAAAATACTTCATCAGAAAAGACCAACAATAACAAAATCCCAGAAAACAAAACTTCTTAATATTTATTCGGGTTCTGAACAATTTCGGGGACTTTTGCAAAATAAGTGTAATCAAAACAGTTCTATTTCAACCTCTACGACATTCTATTACATTATTTTATGCGTCCCTAAAATGCCAGTTTCAAGACTCTAGCTCTCGTAAAATGGGAAATAAATGTATTTTTGTACCTAGCAACACTTTACCGAGGGTTTAATAAGATTGCCAGGACAAATTAAATGGGACATTTTTATTTATAGTTTCCTAACTTGGGGTTTTGTAAGTTAGGTGAGATAGAGGGTCTTAATTCCGAAAACCGTGTATCAATTTTACTTATTGCGACCAAAATAAATACAAATAATACAACGTAATTTATAGGTATAGGGTATTATGGTACACGAAGGACGTATTGAAAACTGTTATTCAGATCATCATCATCATCATCATCATCATCATCATCATCATCATCATCATCATCATCATCATCATCATCATCATCAGTGGGGCAACGTTTTTTTAAGTAGTGTACTGTGGTCAATTTTAATCAAAGAGTACCCAACGTACCTAACATATACAAGTAATTAATACATATTATTTTTTTCTAGGAAAATGTGGCATTCTTAGTGCCGTGGGTCGTCGGCTGTATGACCTTCATGGCGCTCGAAGCAATGGCCATGGTGTATTCCAATATTCTTAGAGATCATGTTAACAAGGTAAATATTGATTTATTAAGCCAATAATTATAGAAAACGGGTGTCATTTGGCATAGATTTAATTAAATTCTGAAAAAACTACTTTGGACCACTGAAACAACTCTGTCTATGTGACAGAGTTGAGGTTTTTTTTAAGGGGGGAAAATCATATAATGACTTCTCTCGCCCGGGTGAGGTGGGAGGGAGTGTCAGACTCTTACTGACTAAAAACCACCCCGTTCCTACTCCTGCACTTCGAGCTGGAACCCCGGTAACCCGTTAGGTTCGGGTGCAGTCATTCGATGATTTTCCCCCCTTAAAAAAAAAAACCCGTTAGGTTCTCCACGACTCCGTATCGGTATTAGCCCTATTGGGCTCCATCCGTGGTGGTCTAATGGCTCTTTGAAACGCGCGCAGAATGCGACGCGCCGTATACTCGGGTCTGCTTCTGATGGGGCGGCGAGCCACCCATGCTCGCCGTCCGCAGGCCATCGCTTACGGTGGCCACTGAGACTTTTTAAATCGTAATATGTCATAATTAAATTTAATAAAATCAGTAAAAGTTTACCTTAACGAATAGACGCGGTATAAAATCTCATAGATGAGCTGTTGAACATAACCAAAACCGGTCGCTCTATGACATTAAAAAAAACGTGGTAATATGACATTTTATTAAAGTACTCATAACATACGAATCAGCCATGCATTTTTACTCATATAGCTGTGCAATAACATTTGTGACGTCACATTTGCTACACAGCGCTACAAACCATATCCGGGCGCAATATTGCCAGCTCGGTTGGTGCAATAATGATTTTATAATATCTTCGTATGACGTGCGAAATGAAATCTGCATTCAATGTGTGTCACTTATGTAGATATGGAGAAAAAGCAACTATTTTCCTCCGTTTCCACGTAGTTGGATGGTAAAAGAAAGATACGGGTTAATGACAGCAAATTAAATTATTGTTTTTAATGGTGATTAATTAGTAAGGTTAAATTTCGTTTATCAACTTTCAATAATAACATCCTTCTTCTGCACGTGGTCACAATAAACGTGCTTAATAATAAACCAAACCCAGTTTATTCCTATAAAATACAACGTAATTCCACCATTACATCCAAACAAAAAACAGCAACTCTAACAATGCAGAATGAACCTTATAAACAAGACAATAGAAGGATTATAATCAACGAATTGTAGCAGTGTCGGTCCTTTGTTCCCTTGTTTGTGAACAACGTGCAGGATGTGTTACTCCATTGATTGTTGCCTGCAGCGCTGAATGTATTACCCACTGTGCAGACTGTGGCGAAGTGAATGGAATCGATTGGGCGTGAATCGCGAGTAAATTGTTCTTAGAACTTCTGAGTTTTGTATCCGATGATTTGCTTGGTCGATCTCTGTTTTGTTCGCGTTAGAATAGGTTTAGAAGGGATTTCAGAAAGTTTAGTACTTATTATTTAGTTGATACAAATATATATAGTTCATTAGTTTTGTAGTCGTAAATGTAACTTTCGATGTAGATGTTTCTGATACGTATTGAGCAGTGATCCTCATGAATATGAGTCCTTAGTGTGACTCGAAAGTGGTCAAGTTATCTCGTTTAACAGTTGCCAGTAAATCTAGTCTCTTAAACATATCTGATGAGTGTTAAGTGATTGACAAACAGTATCCATAGTTGTTTGTCAATCAAAAATTAATTTCAATCATAATTATCAATAACCAAACTCTAATATTTAACTTTTCCTCTTTCCAAGAATACAACCTTAACCTCCCTCGATAAAGGAAAGAAAATAAAGTTTCCATTCCAATTAATCAATTCGTTTTACCGCATAGCAACACAGAGACCGTCCAATCCAGCTAAGTAAACGGGTAGTTAATGCAAATACATATAATTTGTCGTTTGTTTGTTGGACGCATTAAATAAGGTCCCTTGCTGTTTGGTGCCAAGTTTATTGTAGCGTGTTTAACTAAAGAGGTCGTCTACGAGGTGTGTCTTATTTTCTATGCAATTCAATAAATGTGCTAGAATTACATTTTGTTTGTAGTTGCAGTATTAATAGAAATTCACTTGTTTGTTACCTGGAACAATTTGAATGTCTTATATTCGTTCACATAATAATATTACTAACATTTTTCAGTAATATACTTTGTGTAAGTTTCGTGAGAGAAAAATGATCTGCATTTCCTGGATCTTATCAAAATATACCTACATACCTAAAAACCATACTTATAGACACAATTGTATTTACATCTTCACTAACTACAATATCTATACGTTCTGCCCTCGACTTGTTCTTTTCTTCCTCTTCCTGTTCCCGTGGGAATTTCGGAAATTTCTTGGACAACAAATATTTTATGTTTGTCTCCTAATTCTAAATAACCTCCCCACCAATTTTCAGCCGAATCGATTCAGTCGTTCTTGAGTTATAAATAGTGTAACTAACACGACTGTCTTTTATATAGTTAGATTTGATGACAAGTTACGTTCATAATTAGGGACCTACTCTGATATGGAGCCGCGGAGAACTTAACGGGTTGCCGGGGCTCCAGCTCGAAGTGCCGGGTGGTTTTTACTCAGTAAGAGTCTGACACTCCCATCCCACCTCACCCTGTAGGGAAAAGGCATTCGATGTTTTTCCCCCTTAAAAAACTCTATATAGGTAATATACCTCTATGTATATCTATATTGTCAATAAACACTGTCATACAAAGCTGTCATAATTAAAGCCCCCTGTATTCGTGTAATTTGTTACCAATTCATTAAGGTTCTTCTATAACAGGTCTCATATATTAGTTTGCAGTAAAATGCTCGTTTAATTAGACTGAAAGTCATAAATGAAGCTACATTATGGACTAATATAGGTACAAAAGACCAGTTTAAACTGATCCTTGAATGCATGAAAAGATCATACAAAAGAAGACCATGATAACCTGGTTTAGTGTAGTTTAATGTGTAGTGTTTAATTAAAATATGGTCTAAGCTAAGTTTGGTATCTTGCTTGGGTTACAGCACTAACAAGTGTCTCCGTTTTAACAAGACACGTCAAATTGTTTGTGGTGAAGGAATATTTGGTAAATGTCATGTAAAATGTAATCATTTTGGTAAAATCCGTTTATCAACAGCTTATAAATGCCCACTGCTGAGCAAAGCCTCTTCTCACATGGAGAAGGTTTTTTTTTTGAAGGGGGGAAAATCATCGTATGACTGCTCCCGCCTGGGTGAGGCGGGAGGGAGTGTCAGACTCTTACTGACTAAAAACCACCCCGTTCCTTCTCCTACACGTCGAGACGGAGCCCCGGTTACCCGTTAGGTTCTCCGCAACACATGGAGAAGGTTAGAGCTTGCTCAATGCGGGTTGGCGATTTCAAACTTATAATTAGAAATTATAAGCCCAGGTTTCCTCACGATGTTTTCCTTCACCGTTGGTCAGTGGTGCCTAAATAATCTTAGAAAATACATATAACTCGGAAAAAGTCACATTGGTACTTGCCGTTGGTAGGTTATAACATACACTCTCATGCATGAGAAGCAGGCGTCTTCAACCTTCGGGCCACCACAACATTTTGCTAAAATCTATTATCGTTAATACGTGTGGTACGTGTCATGTTCGTGAACGGGCGCCGTCAATTCGGACTGGTCATTTCCAGACTGTATGATTTTATTGTCCTCAAGGCTATTTTCTTTTTCAATCTCTGACTAGATTTAAGGGCTGCATTGTTCTCTCGCGATCGAACCAACAAAACTATGTAACTAGAGAATTATAATGTATATATTGTAAGCCCGATTGAAAAAGAGTAACCTTTGAAGTTTTTTGCTCGTTCTTCGCCATAGGAATCTACACCTTCCAATGAGCAACTATGTAACTTCACTTTTTTTGTTGTTGACTTTCAAAAGTGCCTTCTTTTGAACGTCAAAACTTCTTCACATCGAAACTAAATTTAAAAATTATTGTTTTAGTCCTGAGTGTTACGCATAGGTATGTAAAACTTAAACAAATTAAATGTTTTTTTTGAGGGTATAGTCATCCTATGTCTTCTACCGTCTTAGGTGCGGCGAGAGACTGTCAGACTCTTACTGACTGAAAACCATCCCGTTCCTTCTCCTGCTTTGACCCGAAGCACCGGACACCCATTAAGTTGCCTGCAAAAAATCGAATAAGATAAAAAATTTAAAATTTTCAACACATTGACTCTGTGTCCCTCTGTTTTATCGTATTAAAATTCTTATCCTTACATACTAAATATATGCTTTAATAATTAACACCGTAACAAAAGGATCTTCGAAACACGTTCCCATTATCCCTTCACGAGTTCGCGGAAAACTGACATACTCAGTATTATTCGGTAATACTCGTATGTTTCGAGTATCCTTTGTTCCGGCCACGTGTCGAGTAACGGTCACACGACAATAGATAACGAGCTTGTTCCTTTTACCTTTTAATCTTTTATTTTGACAGTGACACCTATGCTCATCGGTTTTAGAGGTCTGTAAGCACTAGGGGTTCTTAAGGTTCTTTTGCTGTTCATTTTTAAGTTTTAAATTTGAAATAATAAACAGAACTTTCCTTTCTTTTTCATAGAATTACCCAGGACACGTATTACGTTTATTATCCCTCAAAGACGTACATACTAGATGTGATGGATACCACAGAAGTAGGTCAGAATGACATTAGGTTTTTTTTTTAAGGGGGGAAAATCATGGAATGACTGCTCCCGCCTGGGTGAGGCGGGAGGGAGTGTCAGACTCTTACTGACTAAAAACAACCCCGTTCCTTCTCCTGCACGTCGAGCCAGAGCCCCGGTTACCCGTTAGGTTCTCCGCGACTCCAAATCGGCATCGGCCCTATTAGGCCCCATCTGTGGTGGTCTGATGGCTCTTTGAGGCGCGCGCGGAACGCGACACGCCGTACGCTCGATGACATTAGGTTTAGGATTTCGATAGTTTCTCTGTACGATAAAAGCGCAAATTTATATATTCTTGAAATTTCTATAAAATAGAATACAGAACCCTTCATTC